CAAGGAAGGTCAGGCCTCTTTGCTATATCATATTCTTTTGGTGGGAGTGCCGATGAAGCGAACTTATGTTTGCTATAGCAATCGACTACGTTACTTATATTCGTATGAAAGTAGGGTTTCGAGACTACCAGTAAATCAGGGTAGTTCATTCAAATGAAATATATAACGTTAATATGTAAGCCAATAACTCAATCGTTATTTATTCCTTAGCTGCTTTTTTCGCAATCAGACGCCAGGTGTCGACTTTTTTAATGAGAACAAATCAGCATCTAAATCGACGATAAAAGATAAAAGACTGTTTGTGATTTGGTCTGATATGATAAGGGCTTCGCTTGGTTTTTCCATCGGTTCATCGTATTTTGTTTTCTTATCGGCTTCTGCTTCGTAAACCAAGTGATTGACAAACTTTTACGTCGTGTACAAACAATTATCGAGCATATTGCAATTATTTCACCAATCTCTTTGCCAGAGGAAACTCTCATTACTTCCGATTAATGCCTCAAATACAGCGATACCAACTTAAGAATCCTCTCCATCCGACTATTTTCTTTATCATATGTACAACATTTAGTTCTTCTATCATAATTCTCACTTTATGTTCACGCATTCAATCGTAATATCCGCTCTCCTCTCTAAGTCACAAGAGATTTACTGTCTGTCAGTGAAACTACATGATACCCACAGTTACTTGCAACAGACTGTGTTGTTACTTCTTTGTTCATCAAGTTGACATCGGCATTTTGTAGAATAGTTCACCATCGCCTGTCACTAAATTTTGTAGATTTTTATTTAATTTGCATATCAACAAAGTATGACATGCGATAGCCACAGGATAGCACTTAATTTCACTAAGCCTTGCCTCCAAAGAGTTCAACTCATCCAGGTTGAATTTGAATGCTATTTAAACTCGACCTCATTGTCGTCACCATCACCATTATCACCCTCTCTGAACGGATTGGAACCCGAGTCATATGAATTATGGTGAAGTTTCCAAGTCCGCAATGGGGTCAAGGATACTAATGATCCGCAGGACAGATACAACATTTAAGGCAAACCAGACCTCTTCCGACTCCCATTACATAGTGTGATTATTGATAAACCAAACATGTATTTGCTTAATGACATTACTTACCTCGATATAAGTAGGCTTCTAGAGATTTCATAATTTTCACAATGGCTTAATCAACAATATCTTTTAAAAATGTAAGTTGGGAGACAGCTGAATTTTCTTGAATGTCGCATCTGTCCTGTGATGCACTAGACACCGTGGCAGTATAGCGGACTGGTAAACGTCACAAAAGTAGTGACGACCCAGGTTCGAATCACTCTGGGGGCTGAGCAGGAGCCCTAGGCGAAGTCAAAACTGCAGACTAAGTGAAATTTAATAATCAAGTTGTCTAAAAGTGGGAAAGCACAACTATTATTCATTAAAACTGGCCTAAAGAGAACTGAATTAACTAAGTTATTAACCCTGACGCACGGATCGTCTGCGAATATACTCATGTCGAAAGAAGTAGAAGAGGTAGTTAATAAAATTGGTTTTAATTAGAGCAAGTATTGTCAGGACATAGGTTCTGCTCTCATGAAAAAAGTAGCATACTTCTGCCGGAAATAGAGCAATGGATGAATTGGTGATGGGGACTTTGATGGTCGGCGTTGGTCGGCAGGTAGACTCGAAATCTGGGGTCCGTTCTGTAGGAAAGAGGATAAAATCTAGACTGAAAGTGGTAAAAAAACTCGTGCCCTACCCACATCTGCTGTTGATGTCTGGCGGTGAAAGGTCGGCATCACTTCTCCTGAGGCCAATTGAGGTGAAGAGCTTGGGCGAAAAGGTAATTGTAGACTTTGAAAAGTCATCTGCTGGAAAGGGAAAAAGTCGGTTCAACGAGCAGAAAGCCATACCA